TGTTTACATGACTCATAAGTAACGTATTTCCATTTTTTTTGCTTTCTGTTAATGTTGTCCCCCATTCTGTTTGCCTCTGCAAAGCTGATCCACAGGCAGCTGTGTTCTACCATGGAAATGTAGTAACTGGGCAGAGACCTAAGAAGCAGTGGCACGCCGACGTGAAGAAGATCTCCACCTGGCACTGGTGTCTGCCTCTGAATATAGTCTGGCTGCTCAGTAAGGGCTTCCAAAGCTGAGAGGGTGGGGGAAGGGATCCCAAGTGACCAGCTAACAAAAGCAGCTCCACATTTCTGGCACAGGAGATTGCTGATGTCAAGGGAGTGATGCCATGTTTTCTAGTTTGAGACCAACTTTTTTTTTTTTTTTTTAACCACTGTTCCTTTTTACATGCCATGATCTGAAGCGAATCAAGTTCACGAGTCACATGTAGCATATTGCAATTATTTTGGATGGGGGGGGTGGGGGGAGCGAATCCTTATTTACTAAGAGAATCCACACGGTACTGTCGTCTCCTGCGCTGAGTAGATGAAGTCTTAGCAATGGGGCCAGGATGCGTCTCTAATGGTACTTAAATTACTTCAGTTCTGGGCGTGCAGCAAAGAATGGTAACCACGTTTTGGACACAGTAATTTATGGCAGGTGAGGAAGCTTGGCTGGCTGGGTTTTCTCTCACTTTTTAATTTTTTAAGTCACTCCAAGCCCAAAAGTGGGGACATGGATGTAGTTCAATAAACCGGCCCGCAAAGGATCGGTAACCCTAGAATGGCAGATGCCCAGCGTTACCGATGGTACAAAGCCTGCTCTTGCTACAGAGAACTGTTGCATTGCAGGACTCAACGTTTTTATGGTGAAAAGGGCTCAGTCTCTTTCCAGGGGTTCATTAACACGCTGAATGACAGGTGCTTGCTCCTTCCTACAGCCTGTCCTGCATCCTCCGCATTTGTTAAATGCAGCTATGCCTAGCGGGGTTGGATTTTTTAACATGTATTCGATTGTAATTTAGCACTTTTTGATTCTAGCTCATTATTTAATTAGTGAACCAGGGTTTCAGAGTACGAATAAAAAAGGAGTTCAGTTCTGGGCACTGTGCTGAAACAGTCTGTTCGGGACAGTAAATCCGAACAACCCAAGGGTGGCAGATTTTAAATCAAAGTGTTACATTCCCAAACACCGTGCATCAATTTTGAAGGTGCTGTGTACTTACGCTTCACTCAGACTACCAGAGTATTTAACAGTGGTTTTGACTGTGACTATATGAACAAATAGCTTTGCAGTACTCTCTCCATCTGGACCTTGTTGCCGGGGAGAGGTGGTAACAGAGAAAGACAAGGAGTGCTGCACGGTTGCTGTGGTCTCTGACAGACGTGATGGTTTAGGATGTGGTGCCCTGCTGCTTTATTAGAACGATACGTCCTAATGAATTGTCTTTCAACTCCAGTTGCTGCTGCACGTCTGGATTTAATTTAGTCTCATCCCAGCTGATGGTAAGGCTGAGAGAAGCAAACTGTAATCCCAAGGGCATAGACCTGTAAATGATTAGCAGGTGGAAGTCGAGACATTTGTTAAGTTGATGAATTTAGGAAACCTAACATTCCTTGTTACACGTACGTGGCAGTTCATGCTGATGTAACTGTAAATATTCAGTGTTTGGCCGCACAGTCAGTTTGGAGAGATTGCAAATTGAACCTCTGCCTGGGAGGAGGGTGAGCTTTTTTTCTGATGCATGAGCTTTTGAGGTTGGCTAGATGCAGAAGTGGTGATGAAGACTCCAAATTTGCTGTTGTCTTCAGTGACCCAGCAGCCCCCAATGCAGTTTTCTAGCCAGATCTTCCTTTTCTTAGTTGCTAGACGTGACAGTAGCTTTGGCCGTTCATCTCCCTTTCAGCTTGGTACAGTTTTCAAGGTACTTGCCTGCTGGCGGCTCTCATCCTGGACCCTGCCTCTTCCCGGAGTTCTAGTGACTCCCACTGCCCTGGTACTTTGCCGTTTGTACAGTATTCCGGCTCTTGCCTTCATACAGGGTTTTTCACAGTATCAATTTCTGGTGCTGAATGTGATTTTAATGCTAAACACTGCACCTGCAACAAGGTAGTATCAGCCTTTTGCTTCACTTTTCTTCCTGTTTTCAAAGAGCAGATTGTATTGTAGAGACCTCCACTTGTATATGGTCTGGGTCCAGCCTGAGAGCTCTAGCTAGATGCTAAGACTAATTGTTGTCCTTTTTAGTAGCAAGGGGGCAGAGATCACTGTGTATCAAATTAAAGCTGCACTATTCTTTTTTTTTATTATTCTGTATCTACTAAGAACGCTAATGTCAGAGGTTTGGCTCTGTCGTTGGTCTTGCTTTGGGACTGTTCATCCTAGAAGAAAGGAACATTTGGGATCTGGGTGCTTTGTGGAGATGCATCCTAACTTCCTCCCCTAGAGAGAGTTATATAGCATCTTCATGGATGTGCTTCTAATTTAAAAAAAAAAAAAAAAAAGCTCAGCCGGAGTCCGGCTGTGACGCATAGACCAGACACCAAATGGTACTTCTGACCATTTCTTTTTTCTGTATCTGTGAAAATGAAGTAGGTTTAATTGCATTTACACTCCCCCTACATCCCCAACCCATTTCAGATTCCTCAGTAGGATTTTCTCTTAGCAGTTGCATCAGTTGAAGACGCGTTCATTTAATAACTAGCACTCTGCAACTCCACACTCCCTTTTAGATCCCACACTGGCATATCTGGGATTACTTTGCAGCATTTCACTTTTAAAAGGAAGCAACTTTGCTGCTCTTGCAATGGTAGATCTAGCTCAGACATCTCTTTCTTGTCCCTTGAAGAATAACCTGAGATTCCCCAACAGGGCAGAGAACAGTCAAGTTCAGTTTGCAATGTAGACATTTTTGCTAATTGTGATGTATGGCAGTGGGACTGATTTGTAATACAAATGTTATTTAATCTTTGTCTCTGTATTTTGATACTTGAATTATTTCCTTTTATTTTCTTGTACATACAATTGTTGATCTGTTCAAATTTTGTCTGAATTTTAAACATCTTGTGGTACCAAACGTAACCAATCTGTGCAACAACATAGACTGACCTCACTACAACAAGGCGAGATTGTAAATATTCCTGGGCTTCCAGCAGTCGTTCTGTTGTTTTCATAATTGTACAACTTAGAACAGACTGAATAAATAAACTTAGACACACACGTGTGCCTCCGTTATTGGGACGTAGATCTATGCAAGTCTTTCGCTTTAAAAACGTGGAGCTCCATTCTAGGAGTGCAAACGTGACACCACAAATGTCTGGTGCCTTGTACAACAGATGGTTGTTTTAGTCGAACAAGCAGAAATGTTTTATCCTCCATGTTCAAAGGAAAAAGTGACCTCTCCTGGTTTCCCTGACAGCCCTCTTTGTACTTACTCCAGTTGCCTCTCAGTCATCTCTGCAAAAGCTCTTACACAATGTAAAACAGCTGCAAGCAGACAAGCTTAAGTTCCCTCCTTGCTGAGCTTTCAAGCGTGGAACCTGCATTTCCCGTCCAAAGCAGTGCTGCCTTCCTTCTCCTCCAGGAGATGGGTGACCTGTGCAGCAGGTAGGCAAATCATGGGGAGCTGGGCGCTGGCTCTTGTATGCTGACTTCTGAACTCAGCTGCATGAGATGAAGGATACTGCCAGGTAATGGTTTTGCTCAAGATAAAGATGACTTTTTTAACTTGACTTGTCTCCACTCACCTCACTCAGTGTACTGTTGAGTACCCATTTCTTTGGGGTGTGTGGCAGCTGGCTAGTTGCACTCTTGCTCTGTCTGACTGCTGATACCCGTCAGTGGACCCATGTCAGAGTTTTTGATAAGGGTGGTTTCCTCCCCTTATTGGGGCAAAGTAGATGTTGATTCTCTTATTGATATTCTGTTTCTTCACATTACCCCTAGTTAGGCCAGACAAGTGGTAAAGCTACATCTCTTCATTGGCGATAGAGTAACGTGTGCATATTATCCTTAAATACAGGAATGTGCATATAACCTAGACCCTGCATGATTCTCATGTGTGGATTAGTTGGTGCTTTGTCTAGAGTGAGGGCTTTACAGACCCAAAATGAGCAGCATTTCATTTCGGTGCCAAACCAGTTTCTTTTGTTGAAATGCCCCCTCTCCTGAGCTATCTGTTGCATGAAAGGTTCCATAGACAGGACAGAGCTGCTTGCTTCTCCACTGTGATTACTGTCAGCAAATGGTCCATACAAAACAGTGGTCACACTTGTAAACTTTGGCATTGGGACAGCACAGTATGGCTTTAGCAAAGAGACGGTGGTGGTGATCTATCACTTACAACATCAAAAGTTGAGAAGCTTGTCTACAAGAAAGAAAGTCCAGCCACTTCAATGCAGGTCACAATTCAGGCTCTGCTCCCAGTATAGTCACAAGCTGAGTAAAATATGGCTAGTGCATAAATACTACAGTCTTATAGGTCAGAGTGCCATGGTAGTTCTTGCTTTGTGCAAAATCTTAAGGGACAGCGTGAAACCGAGTGAGATTTCCCAAGCAAACATAAGTACATCTAGCTGCTTTGTCAAATCCAAATACTTTCCCTAGGGTAAAACCCTATAGAAAAATGAACAGCTGAGAAGGAGGGGAATTGAGGTTGCCCAGGCTGCAGAACCCCACTTTTTTTGTGTTGCCATGTAAATTCACCACTCCCCAGCCCATGAGACCATCTACAGCAACACAGAAGCAATGGCAGGTTGGGGTGGGAGGAAGAAAGAGGGCAACTGTTTTTTCAGCGTAAAGGTTTATTCAGACAGCCCTGGTGTATTGTCCATTGCTGTTTATGCAGTTCTCTGCAAGAGCTATGATGGCCCAGCTGCGCTAGTGCTTGGGCTACTGCTATACCCAGCCAGGGCAGCTGCTTCGTTGGCTGCAACTGACTTCATAAGCTAATGCATGATTTGAAAGACTGCCCCAGAGTCCCCCTCACTCTCCTGCTCCCACTGCCTTCTATGAGACGGTTAGAAAGAATCGATCCCAGCCTCTGGCTCCACCTCTGGGAGGAGGACTTTCTTTAAAATTCCTGAATAGTAGGGTCCAAACACCTGCCTATTGTGATGAGTCACGCTGCCAAACCTGCGGCCAACTTCCCTCAGTTCTTCCTGAATAGGAGCGAGGCCTTTTGGAAAGTTCTCGAGAGATTTCTGTTCAGTAGGAGACAGGCAGAGGCTGAGGAACGAATGGATCCGTTGCTCTGTGGGTATCAAAATAAAGGTGTGATAGGAACAGATTTTAATACGGTGATCCAGCTAGGAAAGAATCAATCCTTCCAACAGCTGGTACATGGATTCAGTGCTGCAGAACAGGTGCATGCTCAAATTGCTTTCCTGCTTCTGGTCTTTCACATGGTTCACATTGCTTCTTGACCTCTTGAAGGTTCAGATCGAGTGTAATGCACTTTTCCCCCACATCCCATCAAATGTCAACAGAGAATATGGAATTTAAGATTATGCTTCTACCAGAGCCAGGGATTAAATTTAAACAGCCATAATGCCATGTTTTCACATGGAAAAGAGGTTTCAGATGTGTCCCCCAGAGAAAATGCAGCTGGGGTTCAGCCAGCCAGCTACCATATAGCATTGCTTTATATGAAGCGTGTATTCAGTGGTTCTGAGAGGAGTGACTGGTCCGGGGTGACTTTAATACTGAGAACATATTAATTCAGTGTTTGATTATCTCGGCTGCCTGGGGAGCAGCGAACCCGCGGAGGGAAAGGCTGCTTGGTAACATGACTTTTGGGCTCAAATATTCTGTACTATCACAGCAGTTGGGCGAGTCACCACCACCGCACAGGCTGAGTTATCTCAGAACGTCAAGGTTTGCCTCAGGCCACTGCTGCAGCTTTTTAAGGTGCTTCACCTTATCCCACCTGCTCTGGCTTTGGAGGGAATGAGCACAAATTGGGGCAGAGTCCAACCAGGCGGCGGAGACTGAAACTCACCTGTACCAAGCAGCGGGTGGAAAAATCCTTTGCCCTGGTTTTTGTAATAGATAAGAGCAAGTCCCATGTGAAAACACTTAGAAGCTGTGGACCCAGGATATCTCCCCTACAGTGTGTTCAGCTGCCTACAGTACGGCAGTGCCACAGGAAGCCCATGATCAGCAGCAAGTAACAGCTGATCTAGCAAAATCCCTTGGTCAATAGTTTGAATAGAGCAACATTATAGAGCAAGGGGTTGCCAAATGCAAGGCTGCAAACTTCCTGGAGAGCTCTTTGTCTTGGTTGTAAGCGGAGCCCTTGTGGCAATTTGCAGAGCAAGTGATTTAAAATGAATCGTTCTTCCACTTTGACAGTTCATAGATAGATTCATAGATGTTAGGGTCAGAAGGGGCCTCAATAGATCATCGAGTCCGACCCCCTGCATAGGCAGGAAAGAGCGCTGGGTCTAGATGACCCCAGCTAGATCCTCATCTAACCTCCTCTTGAAGACCCCCAGGGTAGGGGAGAGTACCACCTCCCTTGGGAGCCCGTTCCAGACCTTGGCCACTCGAACTGTGAAGAAGTTTTTCCTAATGTCCAATCTAAATCTGCTCTCTGCTAGCTTGTGGCCATTATTTCTTGTAACCCCTGGGGGCCCCTTGGTGAATAAATCCTCCCCAATTCCCTTCTGTGCCCCCATGATGAACTTATAGGCAGCCACAAGGTCGCCTCTCAACCTTCTCTTGCGGAGGCTGAATAGATCCAGTTTCTCTAGTCTCTCCTCATAGGGCTTGGTCTGCAGGCCCTTAACCATACGAGTGGCCCTTCTCTGAACCCTCTCCAGGCTATCCGCATCCCTCTTAAAGTGCGGCGCCCAGAATTGCACGCAGTACTCCAACTGCGACAGTTGTGACGCCATATAGTGATACAGGCCTCATGATGCATGGGGCAGAGATTACTATTACAGTGAGTAAACTTGGTCACTTTCCTTATTAACTTGGACAACAGGGCTCAGGGGGTATACTGCTTTTTTCCTGCTTGACCAGTAACTCGACCAAAAAATAACCAACGTTAGGGGGCTTCCGGAGGAGCAAGGCACCAGTCAGTTTCTTTCCCAACCTGGTGGCTTTTTCTTGGCAGTCTGAGCTAAGGGGCCAAGCAATGAACTCTGCCCTCAGCTTCCAGCAGTAAATCAGTGTCCCTCATCCTCCCTATCCCCCCATTCTTCATAGCAACTACCTATGTCGAACAGCCCTGCGGATGGAAAGTACTGCACTCTCCAAGGATGCTACATCGAGGGCCATGTACTGGCTCAGGAACCCAAGTTCCATCCCCATCGAGTTTTGCATTGCTCAGGACTCACCGATGACACTTCGAACGGCGTTGTCCTTGTCTGTGATGCTCTTTATCTGCCCTTTGAGGGAAGCAGTTTTGTCACTGCTGAGAGGAGGACAACCCAGCTGAGAGAGAGTCCGACTAACTTCTTGGCATACTTGATGGCTGATGTCAAGTAAAGCTTCCTCAAACCTAGAATCGTGTAAAGGTTTGTGACACTCACTCTGGCTGCTGGTTAGGTTTGTTACAGGGCAGGGAGCAAGTCCCACAGCATTAGTACAGCCAGGGAGGTCTCTCCACAGGCCTGCGGGCAAGTGTTGTGTGGGGGACAGCCAGCCATGCTGTTTTGGTGCCTTCCATCATTCATGGACTAAGTTCCCCTTGCTCTGCTCTTTGGCAAGAGCCAGCAGTGACAGGAAGCTACTCTGGTGCTCCCTCCCATGAGGAAAGGATCAGCACCACTGATTCTTCACCAGCCAGTGAATCGCCAAGCCTAGGGTAATGGGGAAGGGGTGGTCAGCTCCTCCCCAAGGCAGAAGATATGCCTAGTGATTGGTTCTCTGCTAGTCCTGGAGCGGAGTCCAGCAGTTTATCTTATAACCAGCTGTCAATGGCATACTCGCCCATCTGGCAAACAAAACCGTTCAAATAACGCACCTGGTATGAGGGAGCCCTTCCAGGAGGACCTCTGTTACCCGTTTCAGCCTATCTACAAACCCAGGTGAGCTGCACAAGGCGCTTCCACACATGCCAGTGGTCACTAGCAGGACCGCAGCTATGATGGTAAGACGATTCACCTGTGATCGTACTTCCTGCAGCCGAGCTTGATCCATCAACAGTGTCTGTGGGGAAGGGGGAAGGAGCTCAAATCCCCCTTCCAGGCATGGAGATTGGAACTATGCTCACTCAGGTAAGTTCTCAAGCAGAGGGCAAGGTCCATGGCCACCCTTGCTATCTTGTAAAGCTACATGGGAGGGATCCAGGAAGGGGAAGGTTCTGAATTACTGACCAAGCTCGAACTCCAGCAGCAGGGAGGTCCTTTTGTGCTGGGAGGACCCTAGCTGATGCAAGAGGGGAAGTTGGTCTCGAATGCCATGCCTCCCCTGCCAAGGAGGGATTGTGCATCCAGCAAATGCTGTTTTCATCCCTAGCACTCCTACTGCAGACTCTCAGATGGGGGACAGCCTAGGAACCTGTCTGTTCTGGGGTTTTTTGCTTGTATTTAAAGTCAGTTCTGTCCCCACATAAAGGCATCAGAGCCCCTCCCTGTCTGACCAGAAGGTGACTCCTACCTCGGGATATTTTTCTTGTCCAAGCTCCCAATGGAGCAGACTCATGTAGCCTTGGTTTAGCACAGATGTGGGACTTGGAAGGTCTGAACTCCTGTGGACTGCCCCCTGTAGGGATGAGGCAGGTGGGATGTTGGACTCAGGCTGGAATGGGGACAGCGAAGGAGATGCAGAGGTGTCTGCTGCTGCTTTGCGTAGCCACTCTGTCGTGTGATCCAGGCTGCCTGCAATGGGATTAGAGAGACGTGTGCAAGAGACTGGACAGGGCAGGTGAATGATGGAGCTGTTAACAGCAGTAGAGCCTCAAAGTGCAACAGAGAGGAGCTAATTAAACCTCTGCTTTAATGTTCCAGAAAGGCTTTGCTAGAGGTGAATATGGGTCTGATAACATATTGCCACTTCCTTGTGAAGTGCTCTGTACACATTCCCCGGTTCTCACGAGCCCCTTTGGGATGGGGATTCTCTCCGTTTTGTGAAGGGAAAAGTTGTAGCAGATTAAACAGGCTGCTCATTGCAAGCCAAGTCTCAGCTTGGGTGAGCCTATGCTCTATCCCTACAAATCCTTGACTGAGGATTGAGTTAGCCTATGGTTGTGTGAGGTCTCTGCAGACGGACAGTCAAGCACCTCCCTCTCCTGCTGTAGTTTGGGAATTTTAATTCTTGCCTAGGCTCCTGCTGTGCCACACAGTGTGATTCCTAATCCTTGGAAAAGTACACGTGAAGGTGAAGCAGCAAACCCCAGCACTTCTCTCCCCTTCCCAGACTTACTAGGCAGCTTGTCTAGGAGCTCCTGAAATTTCTTCCGCTCGTACTCGATGGAACGGTCCTGCAGGTGGGGACGGAGGCTCTGGATAGTGAAGTTTACCATATCCATTTTCATCAAGTCAAGCACCCTGAAAATCTCCCTGGGGTTCAGCAAGAGAAAAAAAATCTAGTTATGAATAATGGGAGGCCCTATCTCCCCAGACTTCTATCGGGGAGAGTTGTAGAGCAGGACATAGACTGCCCAGAAAGCTTCTAGAAAGTGGTGAGGACCCTTCTGATACAGTGAATGAAGAAAGCAACTAGTGGGAAAGGTCTTCTAGATTTCTTTCTAACCACCAGGGAGGAACTGGCTGAGAAAGTGACAGTGGAAAGCACTTGGGTGACAATGACTGTAAAACGATAGTTACAATCCTTAAGAAGAGGAGGAGGGAGAATAGCAGGAGAAAGACTGTGGATGTCAGACTTCAGTAAACTTGAAAACTTGTGGATAGGATTGCCTTGGAAGCAAGTCTAAAGAGAAAAAGGAGTTCAAGGGAATGCTCAGTATACACAAGTACAAACAAAAAGTAGGAAGAGTTATGAAGGACCAACTTAGTTAAGTCCTGAACTATTCAATAACATGAAGCTCAGGAAGGGATTGAATGAAAAGTAGGAACTAATTCAAGTAGACAAGTAGAAAGCTACTGTAGAAGCCCGTTGAGGCAGGACTAAAAGCCAAGGCAGAAAATGAGATGAGCAAGGGGCACCAAAGATAAGACAACATGCACTGGGGCGGAGGGATGGACTCAACCTCCCTACAGAGCTTCCAGTTCTATTTTCTATGATCCTGTAAGTGTCTTATGAGGAGTCAGTGCGCCAGCTCCAGCTAGGGGCAAATGACACCAATGCCAAGATGAGCAGACAGAGTTCCATGCTTCAGTTCTGGGCAAGACCACTGAAGGGGGACCCAATATCAAAATCCCACAAATGACCCACCAGCTTTTTTTTTAAAGGATCAAGGATATTTTTAAAAGATGTACTTCTGTGTGGGCAGGGGAAAAAGTGCCAAACTGAGAGCCTTAGACTGCATTATCCTCTGAACTGGTACAGCATGGACAGGGGCAGGGCAAGCTACTCAGCATTGTATCCACATTGACCTACCAGGGATAACCAGAGGGGAGAGGTAACTGGGACCCCTCTCAGCCTCTACATTTGAGTGAAACGGAAACTATGCGTCAGCGGGGGATGCTTGTAAGCGAAGGAAATGGGACCCAGGGCTAGAATAGAAAACTCATTTCCTCAAAAGAAAAAACCATTGGGCCCAGTTGATCTCTCTGACTTGATATGCAGAGACACGTGCACATACTGCTCCTTACAAACTACTTAACCATTTTTCCTGTAGGATGGAAGATAGTGAGTTTATTTCTCCTTTTACAGACTTGGGAGGTGTTCAGACGATAGTGATAGGGCTGTATTAGAATCTCCGCAGAAGGCGATTCAAGTGCTGTGATTCATTCCATCCTCTCCCTCTCTGGTATAGCTATATCAGTGATTCTGCTACCTGCAATGGCAGTTTTGTGCTGGGGACAGACATCGTCCAGGAACTGGACCGAACCTTATTTATTTCACAAAGAGCTTCCCTCGCTGCTAAGCAGCAGCTAGGTGTTAGAAGCTTGCACCAATTTTTCATTAACAGGCAGAAATTCAATATCCCTGGGGAGGACGAGCTGAGGTCCAAAGTGCTTTAAAGTCCTACTGAGATGCTGGTCCTGTGCAGGAGGCCCTGGACGTCCCAGACACTGTTCTACTGGTATGGGATACACTGGTTTATGGCAAGCCCACCTGAGCAGCTGAACTGGGTCTGTCAGGCTCCGCAGTCTCTGCACTTCCTCGTCTCTGATGGGCGCGCAAAGCATTGCCATTGTGCTGAGGATGTACATGGTGAGATTGGGAATGTCTAGTGCCCCATGTTCGGCCTCCTGCCTGATCAGCTCCACGTCCAGGGCAGCTTCAATCTGGCTCTGTAGGCGGGTCTGCCGTGGCAGCAGCAGTGACAGTAGGGTCTGCCCAAAGGGAAGAAATGAAGATGGAGATTTCCACTGCAACCAAGCAACACCCCTACCTTCCCAGAGTTACTCAGCAGGGATCCAAGCTGGCTTCGTGGGCCTGGAGGCCCAGAAATGTCTGTCCCTAACTGCTCCCTTTAGGGATGCTCAGAGTGCCAAATGACTAATCATTGCTTCCTGACTGAACAGTTTTTGTTCTGTATTACAGTTATACCTGTAATGCTCTTTAAGGCTTTTTTGGAGATGTGTATCCTGTCAGGACTGGGAGAGTATGGGCCGAGTAAGGTAAGTAATGTGTAATGCTATAAGGAAGGTCTGGCTGTTTTGATAGTTTTAAATACTGATTTCTTGTTTAGTATGTTGTGTGCTTGGACATTAAAGACAGATGCTTGTGTATAATGAAATGGGCATCTTGTTATACAACTTTGGTGTTTTATACTTAGCAGAGATTATGCATGGAAGGGCATAATCACTATTACTGTAAGGGGGACTTTTATCAAGGCACTTTGTCAGGTTGGTAGAGTGTTTTCACTACGTAGATAGCTCTTTGCATTGGTGATGTTATGGTTGCTGTTTAGTATGCATCTGTCCCAGGATTCATTCTGTATGAAGTCTTGTAAAAACAAGGTTTTAATAATGTAATTCATTTTTAATTGAGGAAGCATGTATTTCAGTACATTTGGGCTCGGAGGTAGAAGACCCATCTCAATTAATTGGAATGTAGGCTGAAGTCACTGGAACTCTGCCACTGAATTCAACAAAAGGAGGTTTAGTTTTACGTGAAGCAAATGAAGGGGTCAGTGTTGTGTTAAAAAGAAAGGACAATATCCTCTTAGCAAAGCCATCAACAAATGCAACTGGGGAAAGGAAGATGTGGAAGCTGTTCTACCATCTGTGGGTCAGTCCTCTGGATGGCCTGACTGGGTGTTCCCCAATTATGAGTGAATCAGGGGGGTTTGGGCTACACAGAACCAGTCTTCGGTAAAAGACTAGATTAGCTGTTTGTCCTGTCTCAGGAGCCGCTCACCTCTTTGATTTCCTGCAGCAGCCGGATGGCGTGTGTGTAGTCTGGTGGGCTAGTGGAGAGCTGTTCTTTCAGGCTGTCCCAGAAGGCTTTGTGCAAGGTCTCCTTCACTCTGCTTTCCAGGCTGCGGAAAGGGGGCGGAAGGCTAGTACAAATACCTGATTAGCATCAGCCATTTATCTCTTGCTGATATTATCTGTTGCTGTGGAGGGGCCATGATCCCTCCTTTCCTATGATCTTCTCTCCTACGATTCCCTCCCTTTCCTATGATTGTACAGTCACCATCCAGAACATGGAATACAGAATGAACCTCTGAATCTTTTCTCCTGTCTGGAAGCAACATACCTCAGCACTCTTCCAAAACGGGGTTCCTTCCTAGCAACCTTTCACTGACACTGCATGCACTTAATCTTATTTTGCCATGTAGCAAAAATCTAGGCAGCCCCACCCAGCTGCAGGTGTCTGGCCAATCTGCCAGAGTTGCAGGTAACTCCTTTCAGTGCCCCAAACTACTACTCTCATCCTTACAGAAGAATGAGAGGATACCTTTCTATAAGGCATCTGCTTTGCAATGAGAAGGATATTCTGGTGGTGAATTGTCCCAGGCAGAATGCAGGAAGTCTATAACTACAGCGCAGAGAGATGAGCACGCTTTGCTAAGGAGTCAACAACTCTGCTCCTTTGCTCAATATTTAAGAAAAGGTCACTGTCTATACATGACCTCGCTGTCCTACAGTAAAATCAGGGCTAAACGTGTAGCAGGGCCAAAGCCACAGTGGTGGCCGTGACACCCCCTGGTCCTGCATGAGCCCTCTTCCCATTGGGTGAGCCTCTCATTAGCCCCCGTAGGCTGCTTGTGCCCTAAAGAAGCAGGCACACTCCAGTGCTCTGCTACAAAATGCCAAGTTTAGTTTTTATGTTTATGAATATAAAGTTGTGGAAAAAGCCTTTCAGGCTTTCTTGATGCATGAAGCCATGAGACACCAAAAAATACCAGTTCCACAGGCTATTAACAGCTTTCTGTCACAACCACAAAACTTTCCATGCTTGAGCCCTGAGCTAGAAGGAAAACCAAGCATAACATACCTGTCTGGTGCAAAGTTCACTTGCTGTACCTTGAAGTCATGATTCAGCACAATCTCATGTGCAATGGTCATTTTGGACACCTCTTGAGCAGTCTCTAATAGCTCTGCCATGGAGAGAGCTCGTGGAGGACTGGCTACAGAACAGGATAAGAGAAATTAATGAGACTTAGGTCATTTGGAGAGAACACAACTAATTATTATCTTAGATCCAACATTTAACAAAAACAGAGTCTAAAATAACTGTAATATTTATGGAGATTTAACATGAATGTGCTTTGAGAAGAGGGACTGAAAAATCCCTTGAGAATATTACAAACAAAGCTTTTGGCTGACGACTGAACTGTGAAATGGACAAAAAAGGGAAAGTGACAGGTTTTTATTTAAACAATTAAAATGTATTTTTCTAAATGGTTCAAATTTGAACATCTGAAATTTTTTCCCATGGAAATCATAAGATAAACTTCCACTGACTTCAATGAGAGGCACATTTTGGCACATTTAACATTTCAGTAATGGGTGGTTGTTGATAACTGCAATATGGGAAACATTGTTTAGAATAGTTTCCTGCGGACAGCATAAGACACTGGCTTGAGTGAGATGAATAAAAAATCATATAAAAGAGCTGATGTCAGTTAACTTGTCTTGCTCAGAAGCAAGCATTTCAGATTTGTTTTTCAAGAGGTTCCCTCCATTGGGGAATTTGCTCACTTTAAGTAGCTGGAAGTGCAAAGGGTCAGGTCTGCTTGCACTGGTTGATGCACATCTAGAAAACCAAGATGTATCAGCTACCTTGGCCTGCCCTCCCCCAGCCCCCTATACTCACAGAATAAGATCCAGGTCATCTGAGAATTCCAGCTGTGAAGTAACCTAGAGTCACGTCTTTGGTACGAGCTCTTTCCTCTCAGACCAAGGGAATGCATTTCCACTTGTACGATGGTGAAGAAAGAGCGACACCATGTGACCACTGGAAAAGCAGATGATTTGGATTCTAACCTTCCAGGTAATCCCACCTGGTGCTTGTTCACCAACCCAGAGGGCTTGGGTCTCTGGTGTTTTTCCCAAAAAGCCACAGCAGCTCTTTCCCCTTGGGGTGGGGAGTCCAGCCTTGGATTCCCAAGCACCAGATGAAAGACATGAGCACAGCACTGAGTGGCCTTTACATTTTCTGTTCTCCAGCCACACCCCCCTACCCTGGAGGCCCAGGCCGGTGTCCTGCGTGATGCCCACTTCAGTGGACCCTAGGTTGTCACGCCCTGGCCAACAGGCCAGGAACGGTTCAGGCAGGGGTGCTGAATGTCTGGGCTGCAGGCCGGATCTGGCCTATACAACCCTATGATCTGGCCCCTGGGTCTCGGACTGACTCGTGTGGCATGCAAAGCCAGCCTGGTGCACAGGCTGGACCCAGCACCAGGGGTGTTGCCCGCAGTCTGAGGCTGGTCTAGGGTGCGATGCAGGTGGTGCCTGTCCCGGCTTGGTCCTGTGCGCTGGCTCTGGGGCTGCTCCAGATTGGGCCGTGCCAGAGCCAGCGTGCGAGGCCAGCCTGGCAGAGCCGTATACGGTGTGCACCATCAGCCCCGTGCTGCGTGTAGCCAGTCCAGCCTCACGTGCAGCACCTAGCAGCCCTACTCCAGGGCTCACTCTGCACGTAGTGCATGGGGTGCCCTGCCGGAGTGGCCTTGTGCGTGCACACAGCCTGGGGTCCAATCCAGGCCAGCCCTGCAGGCAGCACGCGGCCAGTCCACCCCATGGCGAGCGAGCCCTGCAGCGGGGCTTGTGCGTGCTGCACCGTGCGCGGAGCTGGGCCCTTCCCCTCAGCAGTGCCTTGTTATGCCGCTGCTTGCAATGAGCTGGGCGTCGTGGGCCCACAAGGCCGACTGCGCTGGCACGCACAGAGCAGGACCTACAGGGTGGGAGAGCAGGCGGGCAGAGGCTGGGCACGTCTACGTGCTGGGTCTCCTCCGGCTGCCGGGCCTTCCCAGGGCTGCAGGGCACCTCCGGGTCCTCGCCATCGCCGAGGGGTGTCTTCTCCCCAGGGTTCGGCATCCTGTCCTGGAGGCAGGGAGGAGAGGGCCTGGCCAAGGCTGGTGGGCAGCACAACCGCGCCCCAGGCCTGGACGTGGTGGGGGGGGGCAAGGCAAGGCAGGGAGCCTAGGGGGGACACCTGGGCAAGAAGAGAGGGGGGGCCATAGGTCCCAGGATGATACCAAAGTAAAGGGGGGGGGGTGCAAGGAAAAGACCAAAGCA